TATACAATTATTATCAATCTAGTGCATTTACAATAATAAAGATGCGAGACAAATGGAACAAGACACCATGTAATGGTGTTTTGTCAAAAATCGATTCGAATAACAAAACAAACTCGAGGAGAAAAATCCATATTCATTTTTAAAACAATAACACAGGTACCTAACAAACAATAATAAAAATAAACAAATACATCATTTTTAACAATTTTCGTCATGGTTTTATTTTTTGTCGTGACATTAGGTACAGCACTCTAAGCTGTATCATTATAATCTAGCTTAACTTATTTTAGAAGGGCGCAGCAAAGAATTTATTGGTTATACTATGTGTTTTTTTTGTTCTTTCTGTCTGTAAACAACTTTTCTATCGGAATTTTTGTTCCGATTTCTAAGTATAGAACTTTTTCTGAAGGGAAGTCTGACTAAGGAGGTACTTTATTTATATTTCCGTACTTTATACGGAAGGCCATTTTTTTGATTTTTCTTAATAAATGGGAAAACCGGAGGAGAAAAATAAAAAACGGGAAAATTTATAAAATGTATTATGTTTTCAATTTTTTATTTTTTGTTTTGTTTTGTTTTGATTCAGTTGAAAATATTTGTGAAAAATTCACGTTTGGACAGAAAACTTATATTTTTTATTTCACGCCTTTTCTAGACGTGATAAAATTTTCTAAACATTGTAGCTGTAGGCATTTTTGAGCTATTTATATAGACTTTTAATTTTATGGGGTTTTTTTACTTCTTTTTACTACCTCTGTGGATAAAATTGTTAGACCAAACAGAAATGTTTGAACATTTAACAGGAGGTTCATTATAGGTTGTACTTTGTGGTAAAAAAAAAATGAATGTAACGCAGAATTTTTTTTTTTTATAAGAATTTTTATACCAAAGTTTGAGGAAAACCGTTTTAGTCAAAAATATTGTTAAAGCAGATATATAATGCATATGATATAATTTTACTATAACAAGACATATATATATATTGTTGACAAATCAACGCTATTAACTGAACTCCACTCAGAATCGTTTTTCGTTTGAAATGTTAATCGTTGCTTACAGACGTACATTAAATTATCATTTTAAAATGTCTAATTTTTTTTAGTTGTCTGTAGATAAAATTGTTTTAGCCGATCAGAAATATTTTGGAATTTCATAAAAATGTTAACATAGGTTATACTTAGTAGTAAAAGATGTTGGGCGTAAAGTAGTAATTATTTTATAATAATTTTAAGATCAAATTTTGACGAAAACCGTAAAAATCATGGCATTTTAAATCGTTAGTCGTTATGAACACTGAATAGAATCGTTTTTCGTTAGTAATGATTTATCATATATTTATTATATATATATGTGATATAAATTAAATAACTCCATGTGTCCTACCTTCCGAACTTCCAGCTTACAATAGTAACACTCAGCAGTATCAGCTCATTTTTTGAAATAATTTTACTATACAACGAGCATATAATAAACAATACTTGTAAAACTGAACAATAATGAATAATATTACTCACTACATAGTTATTTGTTGAAAATTGTAATAAAATTCGACAAAGTAATGTGCAAATTTAGTGGTGGAGTGCAATATCGTTTTTGTTTTAAAATCTCTAAGCTGAAAAAAGATATTTCTAGTACAGGTGTATTATAGTTTCTATTGATTGGTTCATTGTTTTTCACTTCTCCTTGTGTCATTCGGTCGACGGACGTGATGACTATAGGATGTGACTTGTGAACCATGACAAATCTTTTTTTTCTTTAAATTTTTTTTTTTTTCATTATTATTATTATTATTATTTATTATTGTCACGTTTTCACACATCTCTGGAAGCCTAATTTTCCGAACACCGGACGTGAGTCGTGTTTTTTTTACCGCGAGAAAAAAAATCATCCGATCTTTGCCATGCTTGCATTGTAGTTAATGATTTTGAAAAATATGTACATCTATAATAGTTTATTATTAAAATAGATTGATCACATTATTTTTGTGGATTTTTTATTTATTGCGATTATTATAGAAACAAAGAAGTCAATTAATATTCGCAAATAAAGATATTTTAAAAAATTATTTTTAGTTTTTTTTTTGTGTTTAAGGGATTTTTATGAAATTGATCTAGTCATCCGCGAAATAGTCCGATTCGGATTTTCCAGTTCGGTAAACATATTTGTTCCAAACGGGAAAAAAGTTATTCCAAACCCTTTCACGATAAAAAAATAACTGCTGAGTGTTTACACAACCAGTTTTTAGAAATATTCGAGTCCACACTACATTATAGTTGGCAATTTTCCGAAAATGAAAAAAATAAATTATAGGTATATTATTTTAATAACGTCTTACCGATATACAAATCTACATTTTCATTTCGATCTTTATGCAACTTTGACTATCGTTTATCTCGAAATTTAACCTAACATAGGTTTTTTTTTTGGATTTTTATAATGAATATCGAAGTTTTAAGTTGATTTATGGGGACTGTTCCGTAAATTTTGTATCTAAGATTTTAGTGCAATGTTGCCAGATTTCCATAAGGTTACGTAAGCATTTGACTATTTGACCTAGTTATGGCATTTTACGTAGGGTATTCATAACTATTATAGTAATCTTTACATAACGTACATCAGCGTTACAATCGGTATATATCAGATAAGTTTTTGTTGTATTTAATTATGCGTCCAAATATTATATTTAGCATTATACAATTAATTGTTCACGAAATGGCTTTTATATACCTATGGTTTATTTTTTCTTGCCTGAAAAATCCAAATAAACCTATATTGACGTGGGGTTATTTCCTCGGGAATTAAGTTGAAAAATAATTTTATTTTATAGTAGTTTGTAGTTAGTTATTAAAAAAATTGATATACAATGTATACTATTCAATTCAATTGACACATTTTTAACTTTGACTTTTTCAAGTTCATCAACTTTTTCTATAACGTTTTATAATTAAAAAAATTATACGGATTGACAATAATAATTAATAAATGGTAACGTTACCAAAAAATCGTACGTACTCGTGTTGGGTTTAGGGGGAAATTTTAACAATCCATTGTTTGATCGAAATTAAACGGAATCGTGTTCCCAAAAAAGTAAAACGTGCGGAATTGTGCTTTACCGGATATATGACACGGGCGAAAAGACAGTTATTATTATTTAATTTAGCTGTCACGGACAAAGAAGTAACTACCCTTTTCAAAAGATAATTACCAAACAACAAAGATTAATTTCAGTAATGGGGATGATTGTGTAAAAACGTTAAATTAAATTAATTTTATTGATTTCTGTTTTAAAAGGACTGAGCCCGAGAAATGCCAGGTAATTTAACCACATAGCTATATTCTTATATTACGAGTATATACTCGTAGCTGCATATAATATGCAGCAACATTAAGAACATATTTTGTTTAACCGATAACTGCAGGTACCCAATAATTTTTAATAAGTAAATGAAAAATCGAAAGTTTACAAACATATATAACTTTAATATTGTACCAACGTTAAGAAAAAAATAAGGACGCTGTGATAAAGTTTTTCTTTATTTGTTGTGAAATTTCACTAATACTGCTACAAATTATGGTACGAAAAACAGTTTTTACAGTCAAATCATGGTGGGGGGGGGGGTATAACATCATCTTAATATTATTTGATATTAACATAATTTGATATTTGACATAATTGATATTATGTTCAAGGATATTTTGTTGTGAAAAAAAAAATTATGAGATTTTATGTGATTTATTATATATTTTATAATCCGAAAACGTACGTTACTGCTCGTGTATAACTTTAATTTTTAAATGTATAAATAATAAATATGTAGTAAAAAAAAAAAAAAAAAAACCATGAACATTGATACTGAAACAAACAAACTAGGTATAATCATTTAAAAACGATTAGCAAGAAAAAAAAAATTCGATTAAAACCACATATTCAGATAGGTATATTGTTTGTCTACTTTACGTGATCGTTCCAATATAATCAATTATTTTATTTGGATTTGGAAGTCGGTTTTAAGTCGTCGTAGACCATAGCCTCGTTAATTCTTGTTATGTCCTTCTGCTATTGACCACAGTGTCACGTGCTTGGTTTAAATTCTACAGTAAGTTATATTGTAGCAAAGGACAATCATTAATTTATTTTTTTGTTAAACCCATGATACTTATGCATAGTCTTAAAAATACTTTGGAAAACAAAAACAAAATGTACTTACTTTAAATTTGTTGTCTTCTTGCTGAACTAAGAAATTCTAAGAAATTTCTAAGAGAAAGAGAAAGAGATTTCTAAGAAATCCAAGAAACTTTGAATACTATAAATATTTTCTTTCAACATCCGGATCAACTATTTTCCCTGGAAACTTAAAAGCCGATTGTCTATTATTCATTTTTAGTAATTGTCAACCTTTATTAATATACTCGTATTATGCCGACAACTAAACAAGATATTCTTGTCAAATTTGACCTAAAAATTGGTTAAAAATACATCAAAAAATCACTTTTTCTGAAGTATTGAATTAATATGCTGAATATACTGAAGTAATTTGAAATGGAAACAAAATATTTCCCAATTAGTAACGTGTTCGGTCTGAAAAACTCTAAGTGGGATATTAAAAAAATGTTGAAAATTCAAAACACAGCTGTGAGTTTGAAGTCCAAAGGGAAAAATTGGCCAATCGTGAGAACATTATGTGATTGTTTCAGAAGTTTCGCAATAGACTTTTGAACGGAAACTATTCTCGTATAAAAGTATTCAGTCTCGGAAAAAATATTACTATGAAATGTTCGATAGTTCATTCAAACTATCGGAAAATATTGATAGTATAGTAAATAAATATATAAATAAGAAATGTATGTATAAAATTAAAATAAATAAATGAATGAATGCGTCGCTTAGAGTATTATGAAAAGTGTATTATACGGCCGGTAATCAAATAAAAATTTATCATTAGGTGTATCACAGCATTTGACTGTGACTTATTATATATATATATATATATATATATATTAGTTAAAATACATTTGAATGTTGAAATTGGTACATGTTTTTAAATATATCATGAAAAAAAGAATCGCTCATGCAATCTCTCTGTTTTACAAAGTACAATAATATTATAATACCTAATTATATTGAAGGAGGACGCGTTTACAATTTACAAAGTAAGCCCAATATGGCCGAGGGCTTTATTATAATGGTAATAATAAATAATTTAAGTAAATTACAGTCATCGTCAAGTAAGCTTTTTTGGATTTTTCAATGTAACCCGTAGAATAAATACGTGGCCATTGCTGCAATGGAAACGATTGCGATTAGCGAAGATTTCAATGAACTCGAACCGTTGCATTTATCTGTGGCACAGGTGGAACAATACTTAACCGATTTTTCCACTTTCTCGCAGACGTCATTATCGGAAACACATTCTCTGAACACGTTATAGCCATCTATGCAACAAACGTGAATTGATTGATGTACATTAATAATTTAAATTTAAATCATGATTTTTATAACGAATTAATAATTTATTATTATTGTTCGTGTTTTGTGGAATAGATGTTTTGTAAAGTTCGTCACATTGAAAGTATTCATAGACCTTGATTTAAAAACAAAAAAGGTATAACTCATTGATAATACTTACCATTAAATACAATTTTACTGCAATTTTTCTTACAATCGACTAACATAGTATTATCTATTATAAATGGGTCACTGCAATTCGTATTCAACCTATTATTGCATTCGTAGCATTTTAGAGCAGCACCTAAACAAATCAAATTGATAAAAAACACAATTTCAAATAATATATGTAATTGGATAGATGTGACCTGAACATTTAACTTCATTCTATTATTTTTTTGTTAAGAATACATTCTGCGGTTTCTGTTGATTCGGTGAAATCAGCATTTTTATTATAGCTGGCGAACAGTTATCTATTTCTATTACAGTAAATAGGTACCTATATACATAATAATATCTTATTTGAGCGTACCTACCAGTTTGCAAAATACAATATTTGTTTATCTTGGATTTCTATTTATCTTTAAATGAAGATAAATAAAATAAAATAAATTAAATTAAACTTGAAAATTCTACTTCACTTATCACCATTTTGGGTGTGGTACTTGTGTACTAGTATAAAGGAACTATGACTGAACCTTAGGTCATTAGAGACATTTAAATTTTTAATGGAAGTAATTTATTATATAATATATTTCACTATTTAATTGTAATTTTATTGATTGTTTTGCAAACAGTTTATATTAGGTTTAACCATCGAGAAAGTGGTTTTCATTATCAAAACCGTAATTATATTGTGCCGGAAATCATTGAAACGGATTTCGCGTTGACTAATAATTGCAGCGTTTTAAGGTAGGTACTTGTCATTAAATGTGATCCAGATAAGTGGGTCTAATTGAATCGAGAATTAATAATTTTGGTTTTACGAAAATAATCAGACAACCCAAACCCGTTTAAAAGCCAAGTTAAATTCAAATTATGTACTATTTTGAAAAAAATCAAGTTTGTTTTTTTTTTTTTACACTAATAAAAAGATATGTGCAATATTCATAGAATTACGCAGTGGTTTGGCTGACGGTTTATTTTAGATTCTGAGAAGCACAAGGAATGTATTTTCAAATAAAGCTGGCCATATTTTAGTGATATTATTATATATAATACAAGCACTGATATTCTCACGGGAGGGAGGGGAGATTGATCCATTTTGGCCTTTCTTTTTTTTATTATCAAATAACAGGTATTGTAATATATATTTATGGTTATGTGTATATATGATATATATATATATATATATATATATATATTTAACACTATTATATCTTTTTAACCTTTTGCTTGTTCACCAAGCTTTAAACATCTCAACGCTCTCTGTGCGTCGATTAATTGCTGGCATTAGTTTTGTTCCGTCTCTCCTGAGCGGCTCCCTCGATGCTCTCATTATTCTTTCTAACATCCAGTTCTGTGTCCCATCTTATCTTACCAGGGACCACACTCCTTTTTATGTATCATCCCACTCTTCTTCTTATGGCAATTATCCATTTCATTGTATGCTCCGCTTGTTTAACAATGTGTCGTAACTGTAGTTTAGTTCTTGGACTATTATATATTATGTTATTATTCTTTTAATCTGTTTTTATTCTGTTTTAAAATTATTTAACTTCTGTCAAGTACTTAAAACTTAGTATTATAAGCATCTTTAATTCTTTTTAAATTGCCCGATTGAGCGTAAGTTAATTAAAATTAAATTAAAAACAAAATCAACTAACTGATATTTAGTGCAGGAAATTGATAAATAATTGTTGATTGATTATCATCATTCTTTACATTAACGATATTTATCGTAATAATAATACACAATATACGTAACATAATAATGTACCTACATAATACCTATAATAATAATTAATATAAAACGATGAAATTATAGGTATTCTGTTGTGTTAGCAGACTCTGTCTTTATTTGCACCACGAATGTGCATGTGCGCATTACAATTTGAGTGTTTGTACACTAAGGTCTACGAAACAAAATTAAATTTTATGTCAATCATTAGGAAATATAAATATTTGTTGACTTTTTTTAATTCGAAGTAAAAATAACAAAGTTATATCATAGTTTCTTTTTATCTATTTACAAACATTGTTATCAGTTACGTAAATGGATATGTACTCTAATATAACAAACATTGTTTGTTGATAATAACATAAATGATAACGATGCATCGTTGGCGGTCTAATCTGTGCGATTATGCAACTGAATAACCACGGTTTAAAATATTCTGCTTCTAATAATGATATTGATACAATATGTATGTACATTGATATTGTTAATTATGAGTGATTTTCATATTTAAAATAATTTATGATACCTTTTTGGTTCTTTTAATGGTTTGTTTATGTTTAAAACCCGAAAAACTGACTTCGCAAATAATTTGTATATCCCCTCCCTCTCCGAGGCAGCATACTGTATAGGTACTTACTATAGAGTATAATATATTTGCTAGTTATTACAGAAAATGTATATAATATTATTGCAAATCTACATGGGCAAATTTAAACTATTAAGAAAATTAAATGACAACAAAATAAAAAATACTCACTTGATCCGAAAAGCAGAACTAAACTAATCAACGGTATCGATATGACTGTAAATTTCATAATATTATTTAATATTGTATTTAACAAATATTTCAAAATAATAATTATTGATGAACAACAGCACGGGCAGGTATGTATTCGTACACTAATTTACAATTGACACTCACACGCCTATATAGGTATCTAAAATAGTTAGAGATAAGGATAGTTGATTTCGGAACGCCTCTTAAAGTACTTTCCTACAATTATTATATAAACATTTTCTTTTTTTAATATTCTGTATGAAACGAAACAGTGAATTTTTTTATTGTTTTACAATAACACAAAGATAAAATGTATTTATGTTTATTAGTATGCTATTGTAGAACTTGTTGGGTAATAGGAGTGCTAGGTATATTATTATCAATGTCAAGTTTACTTATTTCCGGTAAAATATTAGTCATTTTTTTCTAAAAATTATAACAAAAACTAAAAAAAAACAAAACAAACACACATACAAAAATATAGAACTGACCTGTTGAAAATAGGTACAAAGGTTGAAAAGGTATAGGTTAAAAATATACTGCGAATTAGGGATTTTATTTTTGAAAATGTTTTTCTCCAAAATTATTGTCCAACCTGCAATATTGCTGTAGACGTAGAGTGCCCATTCAAAATAAAAAAATTGTATTACTTCGAGTGGGTACACTAAAACAAATTTTAGTGTTTATATTTTTGATTTCCGTTAATCCGAAATATTCCACTTTTAAGTTTGGGTTGGAAGAAAGTAGAGAAATATTATTTGTGTGGTGGTGAGTTAATAATGCACTACTACTCTCCTCTAATATAAAATTAAAAGTGGTATATCTCGTAAATGACTTTACAGAAATCAAGAATTTCCATAGTCAAATTTATTTTAACTAATACTCCTTCTATTTATTGACTTTTTAGTATAGGTTGCCATTTGAAAATCAAAAGTAAGTAGTGGTTTTATCCCCTAAAATTGTATAGCTGCTTGTTTCTTGAATGTTCTAGAAAACAAATTCGAAAAAAAATTAATACTTTCCGAGATAATGAGTGTACCCCTTTAAATAGATCACCCGGTATAAGAGAGTTTTTAATCAGAGATAAAAATTTGATCAAAAAATAGTTCACAGACTACACGTAAAAAAATACAATACATTCCTCACTTCATTTAAAATATAAAATATACATAATACATTAAATTTATTAGTATAATATGTTAGCAAAAGGTCAATGAATATGAATTAATTAATCATATTGAATTCGGTCTGCACCATTTTTTTTTTTGTTGTGTTATTAATTTTGCTTTAATTCTAAAACACTAATCATTGTATTGTTGTAGTCTTCATTCATTTCTATAGAGAGATTCCTAATATACGAGTGAATTAGTTGTTATTTAACCAATTCAAGTGGGTTTTCTGGTCTACGCCGTTTTCGAGCAATTAGTCACGTCTACATAAAATCTATATCTGATGTGGAAATGAGTATTGGCGGTATATTTGTATATTATGATTCGCAGTTTGTTTTCTCCAATTCGAAAAATCATTAAGATATCAATAACAGGATATTTGTTGTTGCGCAGTATAATAATAAACTATAATCGATTGCTATTACTGTTTTAGATAATGGCTATAACTCTATAAGTTACACAAAATGTTTTACCGTCGATCAATACACGTAATTAGCCCTTCAAAAGACTGGAGAGGAATGATTACTATTTCTCGAGAAATATATTCTCGTTTACTCTCATCGGTCCGTGTTGAAAATTTTAGTATTTTTGGTTTATTAGACGTCTATTCTCACGCAGTAATTTTGATACTTCAATGAGTTCATAAGCATTCGAGTGATGAACTTTGTGCACAGAATATAGAATTTTTTTTTAAGAATTATTTTGAGTCATCGTCGATCAAAAAGTTTTACATAATACATTATACTATTTGTTTGACCATTAAAATTGATTTTGTTCCAAACCTAGGAAAACATTATTAAATAAGTATATTTTCGGGTCCTGAGTTGATAGTGTAAACTATAGGTATTATATGAGTGATGAATATAAAAATATAATTTCTGACGACCATCGAGCATCAAATATAATTAAATTCAAAGACAGGTTAACGAAAATAATATTAACTTGATAAAGTAAAAACGAATAAATAAATAAAAGTGCAAACACAAGCTTCGCTTATAAGTAATTGATATTTATTGTAATATTATTTTTATCTTATATTATGTTAAAGAAATTGAACTATAAAATATAATAAAAAATAAAAATTGATTATGTTTTGTTTTGTTAAAAAAAAAACCTCAAACTTTAAAAATTATTTAATACCTACTAAACAATAATTCCACTAGTAATACATATTTTGTATGTGCAGTTATTAAAGAGACGTTGTACCCACATCTACTGTTTCAATCCACCTACCAAGTAACATGCAAAAACAATGCTTACGCATAATAAGTAAAAGTAGCTTAATTTTGATTTTAAAGTAAAAATACCTATTATGAAATTTATAAAGAACAATATTTTGGAAGGAATGTTACAATGTTTTTGTACCATTCAAAATATACAGCTCGATATAAAAAATATAAAAATCTTTTTGTTTTTTAAATAACTGTAACTTGTTTAAATGTTCAAAATTCAAAAAAAACACTTATGAAATTCCCTCCAAAATACTGTTCTTTATACATTTCCTAATAGATACTTTAATAGGGTATTCCTCTTAAGCGATTAACACTAAACACAAAGTTGTCGATTTTTTTAAAAATCAAAAGTCGCGAGAATTTTTTTGACGATCACATAAAAAAGATAAAACAAAATAACTATATTTTTTATTATATAAATAATATAATAAATCATACAGTGAAACCTCCCTTAACGGACACGTCTAAATAGCGGACACCTCTTAATATCGGACGTTTTTTCCCGAACGAACGGGGACATTTTCACTATTTATATAAAGAAAAAACCTCTAAGTTCAGTATTCTCTAAATAACGGACACTTTTTAATATTTTTTTCGTAAATTAATAATAATTGTAGAATACTTCAATAAAAGTTTACACTAATGAGTTATATTTTATTACTATGTATGTACATTATAATACTGTGTGTGGCAGGTATCTTATATTATTCGTCCAGTCGTTGACATTATCGCGTCGATGAAATTTTGTAAATTTAAGATGTATTTAACTAATGTAAAAATAAAATAAAATACAATTTATTTAATTAATTAATTTAATAAAAATAAAATGTCTCCCTCTAAACAACGGACACCTCTGAATAGCGGACAAAATTTCAGCGACCGAGTGTTCGGTATTTAGAGATATCACCGTATGTTATATTATTTATGTAATGCACATACGTTACCAATGTTTTACTCCTTTAAAAAAAATAATTGAAATTCGTTTACTCGTGCCCCTCAAGACGATCTACATATTAAGCACAACGATTGGAGTATTTTCTCTTATACCGTTGTGTTGGGCGCAGTTACATATAAATCAAACTACATATAATTTATTTCTAAATAGAGGATTCGATTAAAGAGCTGTTAACGTTCAATTTTGTAGTAACTTTTTTTTCAGTTAACCTTTGAGGGTGACATATATATTTAGAGAAAATACAATTTTTTTTTGTATTCCCAAATTTAAAAAAAAAAATAAAACACTTTATTTATACCAGTGATTTCCTAACTTTTTTTATTCCATGCCTCCTTTGGTGAAAATCAAATTAAAAAAAAATATTTAAATACTACCAGCTCTAGAATAATTTGTCGAACATGCCTAGGTATATTATTTGATAAGATATACGGACGTAGATTACAATCGTATGACTTGTTAGTTCTTACTATAATTTTAATAATCGGATACTATGTAAAAGGTTAGATTACTTTCCTATGCTGTGTTAGAAAATTTGGTCCCTTTGTGATTTTTTCGTTTTTGTGACATTATTATATTTCTTCGACATTTTAACGTTGATACTTCAGAAACGATAGTTAAAAAATATACCAATATAATTATATTAATCAAAATTATATAATTGTACAATATAATATAGGTACCTACCTACAATCCTACCTAATTATAAATTATAACACTATACAGTATTGAGTATAGACTATAAGACTTATAGTCTAATAATAGACTAATAGTTTAATATATATTATATATTAAAAATAAATAATTTTTTCATTATTGTGAAGTCTTCTCCGTTCATTGGTTTGGATAATCTTATATGAGGCCATATCGGGAGAACATTCTCTCGAAAACCATGAATATCATACTTGTATACTACATGCTATGTACTCCGTATTTTTCTCAACAGCTACGTCTAAAAACCATACAGAAATTAGACCATATTTGTTGTGTTATGTCAAAAACATTATAATAGTTAGAAAGATCGCAAAATGAAAACTCACAATGCATAGGCGGTTCATTAGTGGCACAAACCGTTATCTTTATAGTTAAACGGGTGGCTGAGGAAGATCCTATTGGGCAGGAATAGGCAACTGGTGGCCCGCCATTTTTTACTGGCCCGTGCTACATTTTCAAACTGAAAGAAATTAAGACAGTGGTGGAGTTAAACACAAAATGAAGAGACAGAAAAAAACGAAGCAGACATAATTTCCTAAAATTAATCGGAAGTATTTTTTTACATACGTTTATTCGCACTAAACAGAAAAAACGTATTGGGACAATAGATATTTGGTTGTTCTAATTGAAAGACGCAAAATCAGACGTTCGATAAAAATATATCAAATAATAACAACAGTATAGTTACACTCGTGATTTATAAATTCTTCGGATACCACGTTCTACAATACTGCGTCGTTTTCTTTGATTCATAATCTCTCCTTTTTTCCCATACTTGCTTAATCACACCGTGTTCTTTAATCGAATACTTACTGTGCTACAAGGTATAGGTTTGCAATTTAAACACCGTGACTCTCCGAAGTAACCGTTTTTTTTCTTTCTTTCGTTCTTTCTCTCTTATAACCTGTGAACAAATTTTTTCGTAATAATAATGGAGCAAACGGGTCTTTTGAGCGAATCGTTTTAAAGAGCCTCGGAAGACTCGTTTCGCTCGAATGATCCGTTTTACCCCGTCTATACAACTAGTTTATTTATAATATTGTTAACATAATAATCGTTTGTAGTATTTTTTTGAAGGGGTAAGGGGGAG